CCTCTAGGATTACAGGCATGTGCCACTGCAGCTGGCCTGATTGTTTCCACTTTTATTAATAATATTGCTATGAACATTTGCATACAGGTATTTTTGATGTTGATTTTGATTTTTCTTTTTATGATCTGGGGATTAAACCCAGGGCCTTGTGTATATTAGGTAAGCAGGACTCTACCACTGAGCTACATCTACAGCCCTTTTTATTTTATTTTGAGAGAGGGGTCTCACTAAGTTGCCCAGGCTGAACCTATGATCCTCCTACCTTAACCTTCCATGTAGCTGGGATTATAGGTGTATGCCACTATGCCTGCCTTCATATACAAGTGTTTGCTTGAGCATCTATTATTATTTCTCTTGAAAATATATGTGGAAATGGAATTGCACAGCCATTCTAAGTGCTGTGTCACTGAGCTATCCCCACTGAGCTATATTTAACATTTTGGGGAACCATCAAACAGTTTTGGGGAACCATCAAACAGGTGAGCACGCTACCGCTTGAGCCACATCCCCAGCCCCGACCCTATTGTTTTTGATCTGTGGTGAAGTAGTAAATTATGGCAGAAGTGCCTGGTGGAGCAAAACTGTTCCCTTTCTTTTTTTGCGGAGAGTACCGGGGATTGAACTCAGGGGCACTTTATCACCAAGTCACATCCCAGCCCTATTTTTGTATTTTATTTAGAGACAGGGTCTCACTAAGTTGCCCAGGCTGAACTTATGATCCTCCTGCCTCAGCCTCCCGAGCAGCTGGGATTATAGGCCTGTGCCACCACTCCCGGATAAAACTGTTACCCTTCTGATGGCCAGAAAGAAAAAAAAAAAGAAGGAAGAGACTGAGGTTCCATGATCCCCCTTGGGGCACACTCCCAATGACCTAAAGAATTCACAATTAGGCACCAACTCTTGACCTTTTCACTATCTCCCAATAGCACCATCCTGGGAGCAAGTCTTTACCACTTGGCCCTTTAGAGGACACTTAAGATCCAAACTCTAGTGGTTTCCTTACCCTGCATTTGGCTGCTGTCAGTCCTCTGTTTTCATCAGCTATCTCACATGTACAATAGCAACAGATATGAGGAGCTAGTGAAAAAAACTTAATTTTAATTAATTTATTTATTGTAGTACTAGGGATAGAACCCAGAGCCTCACACATGCTGGGAAAGTGCTCTACCACTGAGCTACATCCTAGACTAATCCAGTCTATACAAAACAAGAAAGCATGGGGCTGGGGATGTGGCTCAAGCGGTAGCGCGCTCGCCTAGCATGCGTGCGGCCCGGGTTCGATCCTCAGCAGCACCACATACCAACAAAGATGTTGTGTCCGCAGAGAACTAAGAAAAAATAAATAAATGTTAAAATTCTCTCTCTCTCTCTCTCTGTCCCCCTCTCTCTCACTCTCTCTTTAAAAAAAAAAAAAAAAAAGCAAGAAAGCTACCTTAATATTTATTTTCAGTCAGCTGTCTTTTTATTTTTCTAGCAACATATGAAAGTAAAGAGCCTAGAAGATGCAGAAAAGAATCCCAAAGCCATTGACACATGGATTGAGAGCATCTCTGAGTTACACCGTTCTAAGCCCCCTGCGACTGTGCACTACACCAGGTAAGACAGCATGTTTCTCACCACAGTAACCCATAGTAACTTTCACCACCTATGAACCATTACTTGTGAGGAGAGGTTTAAAGTCTAGGGACAAATTTGATTAACCTGAGATCCTGAAAAAAAAAGTACACTTTCACTATACTTTTTAGAAATTGAGAAGTTGTCAGTTGCTGGCTCAGATTTGCAAGACAAGGGTCTTGCAAAATTGACCAGGCTTGTCTCAAGTTTATGATCCTTCTTCCTCAGCATCCTGAGTAGCTGGGATTGCAGGCATGTGCCATTATGCCTGGATTTACTATATTTTTTAAAAAATTGCAAAGTTCATAATAAAGTTTATATATATAAAGGCATAAAGATTGATAGTTCTCTGTTATCATTACTTAGCCAGTTCCTCCAACCCCAAGCCCTGGGTAAATTTGGTTTGCTCAATCTAGGTTTTCTTGAAATCCTAATATGCCAGATTGAGGATCTCTCCTTTACCCTAAAATATATTGATCCAAATGCTGCTGTCATTTGCCTGTGTTTCCTTTTCATATTTAATCTGTACCTTTAGGCCTATGCCTGATATTGACACATTAATGCAGGAGTGGTCCCCAGAGTTTGAAGAACTTTTGGGCAAGGTGAGTATAAAATATCATGAGGTAAGAGAGTGTGACATTCATTCTAGGGCCCAGTGTTTTCTGTATTCCTGTACTACCATTATCATCATTGACTTTTTTCTTTTGAGTACTGGGGATTGAACTGAGGGGCACTTGACCACTGAGCCACATGCCCAGTCCTATTTTGTATTTTGTTTAGAGACAGGGTCTTATTGAGTTGTTTAGTGCCTCACTTTTACTGAGGCTGGCTTTGAACTCGTGATCCTCCTGCCTCAGCCTCCCAAGTTGCAGGGTTGTGCCACCATGCCCAGCTCATTGACTTTTTAATTGAAGTTTAATACGCAATCACAAGTGTACATGTATTCTAAGTGTTAATCCATTTTAACTTGGGTAACCAGCACATTGCATTAGTGAACAAAACATTGTCATCCTCAGAGCCTCTGTGCTCCCAGATTCTGAGGTAACCAGAGTCTTGTTTTTGACTTTCTCTGAATTTAAAAGTACTTTTTTGTGCCTTCTTTTTTTATTATAAGAGATGCATTCATATTGTTTTGTGTGGTGGTTCATTTGTTCTTGTAACTGTAGTGTGTTCTACCATTTATCACATATATGTATATGACAGTTTATCCATTCTGTAATAGGTATTTGGGTAGTCTCTAGATATTTTGGTCATTAAATAGTGCTATTATGAAAATTCTTATGTAACACATACTTTGGGGAACATATGTACCTCTTGCATTATTATTTTAGGTTCCACCTCCACAGGAGCATTTATGATATTCTAAGAAGCTGTATCCTATTTAGAATTACCCAAATTTTTTTTCCCCAAGTGCTGGAGATTGAACCCAGGGCTTTGAGTTTGCTAGGCAAGTACTTTACACTGAGCTACATCCCTAGTATTTAAAAAAATACCCAAGAATCAACTTAAGAAGAAACTGTTAAGACCTTTTTGAAAACAATAAAATTTTAATAGAGGACATAATGAGATCTGAATGATGGAGGATTCAATCTTATAGAGCTGCCAGTTCACCCCAATTTCCTATATAAGCGTAGTGTCAATTCTAATTCCATTAGAATTTTGTTGTTGTTTGTTTGTTTGGTACTGTGACTTGAACCCAAGGCCTCCTGCATGGTAGGCAAGTGCTGTACCACTGAGCAACTTTCCCAATCCTTTTAAAAATTTGAGACAAGACCAGGTGTGCTAGTGCATGCTTATAATCTCAGCAACCAGGGAGGCTGAGATAGGAGATTGCAGTTTCAAGGCTAGTGTCAGCAACTTAGTGAGGCCCTAAGCAATTTAATATGACCCTCTCCCAAAATAAAAATGGAAAGTGCTGGGGAATGTAGCTCAGTGGTAAAGTATCTCTGGGTTAAATCCCTCACACCAATAAAACAAAACAAAACTCTTTATTGAGATAGAGAGGCCAGCACTGTGGCACATGCCTATAATCCCAGCAACTCAGAAGTCTGTATTAGGAGGATTGCAAGTTCAAGGCCAGCCTCAGCAACTTAGTGTGAAACCTTGTCTCAAAATGAAAATTTAAAAAAGGGCTGAGGATATCTCAGTGACAAAGCACGCCTGGGTTCAACCTTCAGTACAAATAAAATAAAATTTGGAGATAAGGGTCTTGCAAAATTGACCAGGCTTGTCTCAAATTTATGATCCTTCTTCCTCAGCCTCCTGAGTAGCTGGGATTGCAGGCATGTGTCATTATGCCTGGATTTACTATATTTTTTAAAAATTGCAAAGTTCATAATAAAGTTTTTTTTTTTCCTTTAAAGAGAGAGTGAGAGAGGAGAGAGAGAGAATCTTTAATATTTATTTTTTTTTAGTTCTCGGCGGACACAACATCCCTGTTGGCATGTGGTGCTGAGGATCGAACCCGGGTCGCATGCATGCCAGGCGAGCGCGCTACCGCTTGAGCCACATCCCCAGCCCCATAATAAAGTTTATATACAGGAATAGATTTTTAAGACAAATCATGAAAATTTTAGAAAAAAAAATTATGGAGAATTTGCCCTGTCAGAAACCAGAACATATTATAAAATTATAGTACATAAGAAAATCAAGGATTGGATGTTTTCTTTGATATGCAGAAGATGGGGGGAAAAGAATATTAAAAAAACAAAGGGCTGGGCTCAGTGGTAAAGCACTTGCCTCACACATGTGAGGCACTGAGTTCGATCCTCAGCACCACATAAAAATAAATGAATAAATAAAGATATTGTGTCCATCTACAACTAAAAATATTTAAAAAAAAAAAAAGGTGGGGGAGATCTCATGGATACAATAGAGGATAAGGATCAAAGAGGGACGGAGAAGGTGAGGGCATGGGAAAGTCTTGGGGAATGAAACATCAAGTTATGCTGTGTCTTTGTATAACACAATGAATCATATATGTAAGGCACTAATTAAAATAATAATAGAAAGGAGATCAATAGAGTAAGTAGGTCAGGGGAGGAAAAGGCAAAATACTGGGGAATGAGATTGATCAAATTATGTTATATACTTGTATAAATATGACAATGTATCCCACTACTATGTGTAACTATAATGTACTAATGAAAATAAATGAATATAAAAAATTATAGTAAATCAAATAGAAAGTTACTGGAATAGGAATAGGTCAGTGGCACCTATTAATCCAGAAACAAACCCATGTATATATGGGAGTTTCATATAGAAGTTTTTGTTTGTTTTATATTTTGTAGCTCAGGGGATTTTGAATTTATGGCCTTATACATGCTAGGCAGGTGTTCTTATACTGAGCCACACCCCCAGCCCTTGATCAGGGAATTAAATAGCTAGATTGTAGTACCTCCATTCAGTGAAATACTATGCAATGGTATATTATTTGGTGTTCTTTGCTCTGATATGAATAAATAACAATGTATGTATAAGTGTGTGTGTGGGTGGGGGGTGGGTGGATGTTTGTGGGTTGTAGTGGGGATTAAACCCAGAAGCCTTCTACCATTTAGCCATTCACCTAATCCTTTTTATTTTATTTTGAAACAGGGTCTCACTAAAATTGCTGAGGCAGCCTTTGAATTTGTGGTCCTGTCTCCCAAATTGCTGGGTTTACAGGCAAGCACTACCAGGCCTGGCAACAATGATATATTGTTAAATGAAAAAAGCAATTGCAGTTGAGCGTGGTGGCATATGCTGTAATCCCAGCAGCTCAGGAGGCTGAGGCAGGAGGATCACGAGTTCAAAGCCAGCCTCAGCAAAAGCGAGGTGTTAAGCAACTCAGTGAGACCCTGTCTCTAAATAAAATACAAAATAGGGCTGGGGATGTGGCTCAGTGGTCAAGAAGTGCCCCTGAGTTCAGT